GTCTTCCGCACATACCAACCACCTGACTGTGCTGCGCTCCTTCCTGAAAAGCACTAGGTGCACACGGAGCATATCAGTGCTCTTCAGTGAGTGGACAATAGTCTGTTAACTTCTCCTACCCATCTTGCACTCTGACGGGTTTGACTTACAACACAGAAGAGAAAGTGCTGCAGAATTGGGCTCAGCATGTTTCTCCAGCTTTTCTGTAGAATGTTAGGGAATCCAGAGGAGTTTTGTTTCCTCTACTCTGCAGATTTCTGCTCTTTAAGATTCCCCAAAGCTCTTTTTACTTCCTGAAGGGGTCTGATGGCGATACATGTATGCTCTCTGTCAAGCTCTGCTGACTACCCAGCTTTCAAATGAGAAATCCACTGGGGTTTGATTTTTTTTTTCACAGGCAGCATTAAGTTCTTCTGGGCCTCCTGTAACTGCTGACATCTAAGAATCAGAGCATAAGGGGGAAGAGGAAGGTTCATCATACCGGTACAGACTGTATAGCCTTCCAAGAGCTTGCTTTCCCAGGAATTCCTCCTTTTCTCTTTGCTTTGAGGACAACAAGGTGACTCTTGCCCAGGACAACAATTGTAACCCTACATTCAGTATTATTTGCTAGCAGGTGCATGATGTGCTTTATAGTTACAAGCAACTATATCTCCTGATTTCATTATGTCAGGTGGATGAAGCCTTCGTGGGTTTTATGAATATGTCCCATAGCTGTCCTTCAGTTATTTTACCATATTTTTTATTTTTTTCCCTAATCAGCACCATGGAACAGACGAAACACAAAGGCTGTTTGACACAGATGGGAGGAAGGATGTTCCATGTGCTTAAGGGTACAGGTGGTGGGTTTAGTCTTTGCCCATCATCAAAACGCACTAGCCTACAGCGCTGGGACTCCAAAAAGGTCATCTGGCTTAGGACGTTTAGAATTCAGATTGTCACAGAGCTGTTATGGCCCTTAAGTGCTTGCTCATGTATTTACTTCTCTCTTGTGAGTTACAGGCAGGACCAGAGTTTAGGTCTCAGGAAAAAAGATGCGAAGAACTACTACAGTTGCAATATGGGGCCAGTACCTTTGCCACAGGTTGAGCACAGGGACTGTAGAGACTACTGAGCATTGGTGATCTTGCTCACTTGGAACAGACTGCCGAGGATATTTTAAAATTCCTGAAAATGCTGAGAGGAGCAGTGACATTAGCTTTTGGGAGTTCCTTGGGCAGGGAGCCAAAATGATACAGTGAATTATTTTAATTAGTATCTTTTAATTCAGATCTTCCCAGAATGAAGCCAAGTCTGCCAGTAGAGAAAAAAATATCATCTCTGTATGTCATGGAGACCTCTCTTGTAGAAATTCACTGTGCTCTTCACTAGTTGAGGCTCTGGCCCCTAGATATCATTTGAATAGAGCAGTTCAGTATGGAACGTTTCTCGCCAAGAAACCGTCATCTTTGTTAACCAGGGTCATTTTCCTCAAATAGATTAAGACTCATTATATTAACGTGACATCCAAACTGCACAAACATTGAACGGATAAGGAGCTGTGAGGCTTGCTCACATCCCAGTACATTTTGAATATTGATTCTCCTGCGAGGGTAGCCTTTAGGGTTGTTAATTGATGGAAGTCATTTCAGTGCCATTTAGCATGATGTATCTCAGGAGTAAAACATTTTGCTTGTGATCAGCATGAATAATATGGGAAGCCCAAGCGAGAACAAATGTGTCTGCCTCCAAGTGTCCAAGTCACATCCAGCAGTGACCCACGAACTAGCCCTGAGGCTGGCATGCTCATCCTCCAGTAAAAGTAGGTCTTAGAGGACGGATGTGTGGTGGGAGAACAGATCTTCACCAGAGGTGACAGTGGCACCTAAACAAGGAAAAGAGGTCAGCAGTAAAGATTTTCAGAGGTATTTCACTGTCAGTGTTTTGGGAAGACAGA